CGTCGACGCGCTCCTGAAATGGAAGCAGCGCGTTTTCAGCGACGCCGCTGCGACTGCGAGGGTGCCCCAGGCGGGCGAGGCGCACGGCGTCAAGGGCCCGTTCGACTCACTCTGCAAGATCGAGGCGTCGGCAACGAAGGTTGGCGCTGAGGAAACCCCAGTCGCCGCGTCCGAGAAGCTGAATTGGATGGTCGACTGCGTCCACGATCAGGTCTCGGGCGAATTCGCGAGCGCGTCCGGGTTCGCCGCGAACGGGTCTCGGCAGCGAGGGGTTGCTGGATTTGGCGTTGTTCAAGATGGAGCTGTGCCAGTATTCGCTCTACTCGGTTTTGGATTCGATTCCCGGCGGCCCCCGCTCGAAGGATCTGATGCGCGAGCGCGGCGGGGGCTTCGGAGAGATCAGGGCGTGCTTCGGGTACTCGAACGACGCCGACGCGAAGGGCGTCTCTCATGGGCCCGGGCCTTCAGAAATACATCGACGTGCGCTGGAAGCTGGCGATCAACCAGGACTGCGACAGCAGCCTGAAGCAATCGCCGAGGGCGCCCCGATCTGCAAAAGAGGCGCTGGAGGAAGGCGTTCTAAGAGCTGATATGGGCGACGCCAACGGCCGGATCGAGAAGGCCGGCGCGCCCGTCGGTGGCGGCGGCGCCGCTGCCGGCCAGGAGGTGCAGTTCGAGCGCCTTGTTTTCTTCGATCCGCGCACCCCCCCCCCCCCCCGCGCCCTCGCGCCGGGGCCGGGGGGGGGGGGCAGACGGGGGTCTGCGGTCCAGGCGGGAATGAGACAATTGAACGGCGCTCAAAACTCGCTTGCCGCGCAGTGGGGCCGTTCGGGAACGACGATCCTTCCGCGAGGTTTGCGTTCGGGGCTCCGCGGGCGCTCGAGGTTGACGGGCGTTCTGGGCGGCGTGGTTCAGCGACTGGCGGGGGGGCCTGATGCGGAACACCCTCTAGCCCGCTGGGGTCGACGACGGCGCCCGCGGCGACCTGGGGCTCGCCGCCGCGATGAACGTCGGCGATGTCCAGAAGACCCCCGACGCGAAGACCATGAAGCGAATCAACCAGATGAGCCAATCGGAGAGAGATGAGCTCTCGTCGCACGGGAAGCAGGGCCTCGAGAAGGTCGGCAACAGCGTGGAGCTCATCAACGAGTGCGGTACTCCGGAGGCAATGGCCGAGGCCATCAGGAACGCTGAGTTTGGGGGGGATCTTGGGGGCCCAGGCGAGCAGGGGCGGTGCGCGGTGATATCCTGCCGGCCTGAAGTTGCGGCGGAGACGACGACGCAGCCACGGCTTCGCTCGCCGCCGCTCAGGAACGCGCCCGCCATGCCTGGGCGGCGGCGACGGCGACATGAGGGCCCAATTGCTGACGCAGCTCAGCCAGGGCCCTGCCGCCATGGCCGAGGTTGGCGACGATTGAGCCTCGGCCGGCGGGGGGGGGGCCCTCGGCGCGGGGCCCAGGCCGAGGCCCAGGCCGACGGGGGGCCGAGGCCGAGGCCGAGGCGCGGCAGACGGCCCAAAAGGGTCGGCCTGGGGCTCACCGAACCCCCCGAGACGGCCCAAGAGGCCGCGAAGCCGGCCCAGGAGGCCCCCAAGACGGCCTTTGAGGGAGGCCCAAGAGGGCCCCGTTCGAAATCATGTTCCGAGGACGCCCTAGAGGGCCCCAGGACAGCTTCAGCGAGGCCCAAGAGGGCCCGACATGGCTTCAAGATGGCCGAAGAGGGCCCCAAGAGGGCCTTCAAGAGGCACAAATCAGCCCGTCCCCGTAGTAAAACGTACGGACTCGGCGCGAGACAATTGGCGACCGCAGCTGCCGGCCCTTCGTGCTGGGCGAGTGCGAACCTGGCGTTCAGTTTGGACGGAACGTGTCGGGTCTGTTGCCAATCGGGGCTGCGCCAGGTTAGGCCACCCCCAAGGTCAGGTTCGGGAATGGGTCGTCGCAACACGACGACGACGACGACGACGACGACGACGACGACGACGACGGTACGTCCCAACAGGCTCCCCAAGACGCCCCAAACCCATGTTCCCAGAAGGCTTTCTGGGAACCCGATTCATGCGGCCTCCGCCCCCCTACGCAACCATTTTCCTCGAAGGCCTTTTCGGAATGCAGATTGGTATGCGTGGATTGTGGTCCACTACTTCAATGGAGCAGTGAATTCGTCAAGACCTGGGGCCTGCTAGAACCGAAGCGCGCGCGAAGCGCGCGTGATGGTTCTAGTATATATATATATATATATATATATATATATATATATATACATACATATATATATATATAAATATAAATACACATAACATGGGTAGGGGTTTCCGGGCCCCCCAAAGTGCACTGATTGATTTTCCGGCCGTTTCGAACCCGGCGGGGGGCGCCAACAAAAACGTCGAAGGGGGCCGAGAAACGTCCAAGAGTGCGCCAAGATGGCCCAAGAGCGCTCCAAGAGAGTCCAAGACCGCACAATAGCGTTTCAAAATTGGTCCAACATGGCTCGACTACAGCCCAAGAGGGCTTCAAGACTGCCAAGATGCTCTCAAAAGGACTCCCACGAGGCATTCAGGAGGCGAAACAGGTGTTTTCGTTCTAGGTGTTTGAAGGTTTTTCGTGTTCTCGCTGTTTCGTGCTTCCGGCGGTCCAAGACTGCCCACGAGGCCCGAGAAATCAGTTCAACACGGCCCGCGAGGCACCCAAAGAGGGCGCCACGACGGCGCAAGAGAGCCTCAAGACGGCCCAAGAGCGCCCCAAAACGGCCCACGAGGCGCTCAAGATCGCCCAAGGGGGCCCCAAGAGGGGCCTAAGAGGGGGAACGCGAACCGACAATTCGAGCCTTCCGCCCCAAGAGGCCTCCAGGAGGTCCCAAGAGGCCCCCAACAGAGCCCAAGAGGCCCCCCAGAGGCCCCTAGAGGCCCCACGAGGCCCCAAAAAGGCTTAGAAAGAGGCCTCAGAGCACCCCAAACGGCCCCCAAGAGGCCTCCAAAACATACCAGTGCATAGCAAAGGGCCGCCTAGCCTACCGTGGCATCGTAGCGTTGCATGACATGACATTGCACGGCACAGTACGACAGAGCTAACCGTGTCAGTGCATATCACAGTATGGTTCAGCATGCCACAGCATTGCATTACATAGCAATGTCTAGCTGAGCCTAGAATTGCACCTCACGACGTAATATTGCCTAGCATGGAATTGCATCTCATGACGCATCGTGGCGTACTATGGCATTACAATGCGCATACATTCATCGAATAGCACCGTACTGCTCTGCGCAACGGTAAATAGAAATCACGCAAATATCACACCCCCGTTGTTGCTCTTATTGTCGTCCTGTTTGTTTTAGCCTAGCGGCTCATAACATGGCATAGCATTGTATTGCATTTCATTGCATACCACGGTATGCCGTGTGTGTTCATACCTTGTAACGCGGTAGCATCATTCTTCATAGGAACCATGGCATGACATGGCTCAGCGTATCATCTCATCTATCATCGTAGCGTTTCACAGCGCAGCATCGCATGGCATGCAGTGCGCGCTGTAGAGTATACCATGTTCTTGCATTGCATATTGCGTAGTGACATTGCGCTTTACATCTTAGCATGGTGTATCATGGCATTCCTTAGCATAGTGCAACATGGCGCTGTAGCGCTGCATTTCTCCTGGTCCATAGCTTGGCGACGGATCACAGGTCGACCTGTCGATAAGAGCGGAGGAGGAGGAGTTAGGAAAGGGCAGGAGGAAACAAATAATGTTGACCTCATTATTCATGACTCGCTTGTTGTCTCAATGCGGTCAGCACTCGACCAGCTAGCACCTAAGCGCGCGCGAAGCGCGCGCGATGGTTCCAGTTTTTATTTAATCGCTTCGCTCATTCCGACGGCCCGCGAGCGCTCTATGGGGCCTCTTTGAAGCCTCTTGGGGGCCTCTTTGGGGCCTCCTAGGGGCCTCTTGGGGGCCTCTTGGGGGTCTCTTGGGGCTCCTTGGCGGCGTCTTGGGCCCCCCTTGGGCCTCTTGAGGGGCTCTTGGAGGCCACAATCCTCGTGAGGGTGTCGAAAAAAGGCCTTCAAAACCATCTCTGAGTAGACCTTCCCGGGCTGCGGTCGGGGTACTTTTCGCCGGGGGACCCCCAGGGGCCGCCCCGCGCGCGCTAACTAGAAGAATTGTTAACCAGTTACCGGAGATCTTAGCACGCCTCTGGCCCGTTGGGCCGGCGAACTTATACATATGTGTATACATGTATGTTTGTTTGTATGTATGTATCTGTACGTATGTATATATGTATACATGTCGGTGCAATGATACATTTAATATGTACATATATACATAGCGATTCCGATATCACTACCAGCGTACCTGTCGATCTGACAACACATTGGGGCAACCATTGGGGCAACCGTCGGGACAACCATTCAAACGCGCATGGTTTCAGCTCACGAGCGAAAAGGATCCATTCTTTGTGGTGGGTTCCGAAACCTGCGGGCGACAGGAAGTTGTGTAAAAGCATGTGGTGTTGGTTCACTGGCGGCATGAACCCGGGAATTGTGACGGTTGTTTTGCTCGCGTGTTGTTGGAATCCATGTGTTTTGTCGCCCGCTCACGGGCCTTGGGAACCCGTGCGTGTGTGTGTGTGTGTGTGTGTGTGTGTGTGTGTGTGTGTGTGTGTGTGTGTGTGTTTCACGCTTGTGCCGGACATTGGGGGCGTCGGCCCTGACCCCCCAGGGCGACTCAGTTTTGTCTGGCTTGGCCCCTGCCAGTGCAGGAACTCGCGCAGCTTCGTCACTCCCGCGCGCACGCCACGCACGAGGCGAGACGATTTCCCGCCTGGGGCACCTCACGTTTCGCTTCGCCCCCCCCCCCCCAGCTTCCGATCCGTATCCACCACCCGCCGAGGTCCCCGACGATCGGCCCCCAGGCGGTGGCCACGACCAGACCACCGCTCCGCCCGAGTGGCTCCCCATGCGGTGCGCGGCGCCGCCCCGCCCGTGGCGGAGAGGGAGAGCGGGGGGGGCCAGGCGAGGAGCCGCCCGCTAATGGGCGCTGGCTCCCGCCGCGCGCCCCCGCGCCCCCGCCCCTCGCTCGGCCGTCGTCGTCGTCGTCGGCCGTCGTCGTCGTGTCGTCGTCGTCGTCCTCGTTCTCGAGGTCGTCGTATCGAAGGTGGTTCGAGCGCGTCTGGAGGTTCTCATCACCTCAGCGGGACGCCACTCAGACAATTTGCCATGATGGACCCCAGGGGAGTGAACGGCGGACCAGGTTTGAATGGATTTTGCTCGGTGGCGGGGCGATACGTATATTTCTCAGAAATGTCTCCGCCTCTCCGCCTTCTCTTTCCTCTTTTCGACCTCCACATCATCAAAGCAGTGGACTCTCACTCGTGGGCTGGGGAAATACCTTGGTCGTGGTGGGACACCCTCTATTCTTCATCCTTCGCGAATCCCCACTAGCCCAGTCGTAAACGCTGCCGAGGAGAGCTGACGGGAAATGGGCGGAAGAGATCCTGAAGCAATACCCAGGCGAGTTGATTCCCTTAGGGAAGTGGAGCAGCGGGCAGTGGAACATATGCCCAGAGAGGTACGGGAAGGAGCAGGAGGAGGAGGAGGAGGGAGACGACGACGAGGACGAGGAGGATCATGAACAGGAGGATGAGCACGTGACCGAGGAGGAGGGGTAGGAGGAGGATGAGGTGGAGCACATGAAGAGGAGGAGGACGACGAGGACGAGGAGGAGGAGGACGAGGGGAACAATGAGGAAGAGGAGCACAACGACAACAACGAGAACAAGGAGGAGAATGAGGAGAAGAAACAGGAGGAGGGGAAGGAGGAGGGGAAGGAGGATCAGGAGGGTGATATTATTGATGCCTGTGGTGCAGATACTGATTATGATGCTGATGCTGATGCTGATGCTGCTGCTGATGATAATGATGATGATGCTGATGCTGATGATGATGACGATGATGATGATGATGGTGATGCTGGTGATGATGATGATGATGATGATGATGATGATGATGATGATGCTGATGCTGATGCTGATGCTGATGATGATGATGATGATGATGATGATGATGCTGGTACTGATGATAGTGATACAAATGCTGCTGATGATACTGATGGTGAATCTGGAGATGATGATGACGATTATGCTGCAGGCGATGATGATGATGATGATGATGATGATGATGCTGATGATGATGATGCTGGTGCTGGCTGTGATAGTGGTGGTGGTGGTGCTGCTGCTGATGAGGATGATGATCATGCTTCTGCTGCTGCTGATGATAACGACGGTGATGCTGATGATACTTATGCTGATGATGGTGATGCGGTTGTTTATGATGATGCTGAGGTTGATGTTGATGCTCATGACGACGACGATTTTGATGGTGATGATGATTATCATGCTCTTACTGATGATGCTGCTGGTGATGATGATGATGTCGCGGATGATGATGCTGATGCTGCTTCGGCTGCTGATGATGATGCTGAGGAGGCCCTTTTCTCCTCCACCACCATCCTGCTCCACCTTACGCCATCACAGTCTACAAAATCATGGCTTGGATCATCGGCTTCAAACTTGGTAGCGGAACTGCTGCTCCCGCGGCAGCTCTGCTCACCGCCGCCCTGGCATGCGATTTGCGAGTGGTCAGTGCCCGCGGGACTTCGGCAAAAGAGCAGCGCGGTCAACTTCGAGTTCGACCGCTACGCGGGCACCTATATACCCCAGCGCTACCACCGCGCACTTCCCCTACCACTTAGACTTTCGACGCGCGAGGAGACTCGACCTACAAGGTGAAGGCCTTCCTCTCCCCGGCCACTACGTCGAGCGCGAGGAACCTCGACCGCAACTACGACGCGGAAGACCGCGCCCTCCTGCTTCCCTTCATGGCGGAGCTCGGGCGCGACGGGTCGCCCCTTTTCCCAGGCGGGGCGAAACTAGCGGTCGAAAGCGGTGGCCCCAAGACGAAGGCATGAGCGAGCGCCCCCGTTCTGCTCCAATTGCTTGAACGGTTTCCATTACTGCTGCTTCCAGGCCCGTGGCAGCGTCGCGCCGGGTTTGGGGGGGTCGGGGCGGCCTGGAGGCGGCTGCGCGGCGGGTTGAGCTCTGCGGAGTGGCCGCCGGCGCTGCTCGCAGTGGTGACGTGCGCCCCGGGCGCCGCGGGCCCCGTGGGTGATGGCCGCTGCGGGTCCCTTCGCTCGCCGTTGTAGTCCTGGGTGGAGGCGCGTCGGTGGTTGCCCTGGGGTCCCCGGCCCTTTTTCCAGCACTTCAAATGCACCCCCGCCCCAATTTGCCCCCCGCGCTCCCGCAATACGCGAGGGTCCAACGCGTTGGCGCGTTCCAGCTGCCCGCCTGAGGGCGACGCCATGCAGGCCCGGCAGCGCCCGTGCTGCCTGTGTCCAGTGCCAGCCGTTTCGACCGCGCCCGACATCTCGCGTGTTTCGACGCGGCCCCCTCGAGCCAGTTTTCAAAGCGAGGGCATGCAGCTCCCTCATAGCGTATGTGTTGTTGTTGTTGTTGTTGTTGTTGTTGTTGTTGTTGTTGTTGTTGTTGTTGTTGTTGTTGTTGTTGTTGTTGTTGTTGTTGTTGTTGTTGAACATTATTTATTCTAAAGAATAATTATTGTTGGGCCCCCTGGTGCGCGCCCCCCCTGCGCCGCCTAGGCCGCAGCTACATTTTCATCATTTTCGTGAGGAAGCCTCAGAAAAGAGGGTGTGTACAGGATCCGGTTGTTTTGTTGTAATCCGCTTTCCCTTGCAAAAAACAATAGAAAATGACATTTCTTGTTCTAATATAATCAAATTTCAAGAATCCCTTGCAAAAAATAAGGTAAAGTGGACATTCGCGCGCGCAAGACGAAATCCTTCCAAAACCTTAGTGTTCGCAGCGATTTTAACATAAAAACATCAAAAAACCAATGGTTTTTCAACAACAAATGTCAAAATCTCATCCCGCGCGCTCTTGCGGATTCGTAGGAAACCCAACACTTTTTAAACATTTCTGTCAAACGGGCTTTTGCGAGCAACTTTTTCGAACTTCTGCGACAACGGTTGCGCACCTGCCAGGGCCATCATCCCTGTCAAATAATACCATGCGGGACACATTCGTTTTTTCTTCGCGCGCGCACGCCGTCGTCGTCGGCCGCGGGGCCCTGAATAGTAGCCACGGTCGTCCGCATGCCACGAAGTGAAGTGTCCGAACGTCATAGGGCGGGAAGCTGGGTGTGGGTGGTGGCGAAGAGTCGTTTGGAAATTTGGTAGAGCTTGAACCGGCCCCCCCACAAAGTGGGGGTATTGCCCGCCTCCTATGAAAACCCTGGCACTGGTGAGAACGGAGTGTCCCCACGTGCTAGTAATTGTTGTTGTTGAACATTATTACTTCTAAAGAATAATTATTGTTGGGCCCCTGGTGCACGCCCCCCCGCCGCGCCTAGGCCGCAGCTACATTTTCATCATTTTCGTGAGGAAGCCTCAGGTAAAACGATGTGATCCAGATCCGGTTGTTTTGTTGTAATCCGTTTTCCCTTGCAAAAAACACTATAAAATGACATTTCTTGTTCTAATATAATCAAATTTCAAGAATCCCTTGCAAAAAATAAGGTAAAGTGGACATTCGCGCGCGCAAGACGAAATCCTTCCAAAAGCTTAGTGTTCGGAACGATTTTAACATAAAAACATCAAAAAACCAATGGTTTTTCAACAAAAAAATGTCAAAATCTCATCCCGCGCGCTCTTGCGGATTCGTAGGAAACCCAACACTTTTTAAACATTTCTGTCAAACGGGCTTTTGCGAGCAACTTTTTCGAACTTCTGCGACAACGGTTGCGCACCTGCCAGGGCCATCATCCCTGTCAAATAATACCATGCGGGACACATTCGTTTTTTCTTCGCGCGCGCACGCCGTCGTCGTCGGCCGCGGGGCCCTGAATAGTAGCCACGGTCGTCCGCATGCCACGAAGTGAAGTGTCCGAACGTCATAGGGCGGGAAGCTGGGTGTGGGTGGTGGCGAAGAGTCGTTTGGAAATTTGGTAGAGCTTGAACCGGCCCCCCCACAAAGTGGGGGTATTGCCCGCCTCCTATGAAAACCCTGGCACTGGTGAGAACGGAGTGTCCCCACGTGCTAGTAATTGTTGTTGTTGTTGTTGTTGAACATTATTTATTCTAAAGAATAATTATTGTTGGGCCCCCTGGTGCGCGCCCCCCCTGCGCCGCCTAGGCCGCAGCTACATTTTCATCATTTTCGTGAGGAAGCCTCAGAAAAGAGGGTGTGTACAGGATCCGGTTGTTTTGTTGTAATCCGCTTTCCCTTGCAAAAATCAATATAAAATGAAATTTCTTGTTCTAACATAACCAAACTTCAAGAATCCTTTGAAAAAATGACACGAAGTGCACATTCGCGCGCGCAAGATGAAATCCTTCCAAAACCTTAGTGTTCGTAGCGATTTTAGCATAAAAACATGAAAAACCCAATGGTTTTTCAAAAAAAAGCTTCAAACATTCATCTTGCGCGCTCTTGCGGATTTCTGAGGAAACCGAATATGTTTTCAACATTTCTGTCAAACGGGCTCTTGCGAACAACTTTTTCACGTGCTTCGAACTTCTGCAACAACGGTTGCGCGCATGCCAGGGCCATCATCCCTGTCAAATAATACCATATTGGACACATTCGTATTTTCTTCGCGCGCGAACGCCGTCGTCGTCGGCCGCGGGGCCCTGAATAGTAGCCACGGTCGTCCGCATGCCACGAAGTGAAGTGTCCGAACGTCATAGGGCGGGAAGCTGGGTGTGGGTGGTGGCGAAGAGTCGTTTGGAAATTTGGTAGAGCTTGAACCGGCCCCCCCACAAAGTGGGGGTATTGCCCGCCTCCTATGAAAACCCTGGCACTGGTGAGAACGGAGTGTCCCCAGTCTTAAATGATTGTTGTTGTTGTTGTTGTTGTTGTTGTTGTTGTTGTTGTTGTTGAACCTTAATTACTAAACAATTATTATTGTTGGACCCCCTATATTCGCCCTGGCGCTCTCGCCGAGGCGCCGGCCGCATTTCCTCTGAAATTGAGGCTCACGCTCAGGCGTTTTGGGGTTCCGCCAAAACCGGCCCCCCAACAACAACAACGCTCCGGCTCGAGACTTCCTCCTTTTTTACTCGGGCTCGGTGCTCTTGCTCGCCGCCGAGAGCGGCTCCCGGGCCGGACGCCCGGGTCGGCGCCCGAGCCGGCGCCCGGGCGCCGGAAAATCGAGTTCCGAGGCGGCGCCGAAAAAAGGCCATTCCAATACACATTTTTCTTTCGAAAATGCTGAATTTCTGCTTCCGGCGCCCGGGAGGGAGGCCGTCCGGGCCGATTCCGGAGCTCGGGCCGGCACCCGGCCCGGCTCCCGGGCCGGACGCCCGGGTCGGCGCCCGAGCCGGCGCCCGGGCGCCAGAAAATCGAGTTTCGAGGCGGCGCCGA